GAATTGAGGGATGGGGAAAGGTAAAGAAATGGAGGAGGAGAATGAAATATAGAGAAATGGAATAGGGATGGAGAAGATTATAGAGGGGGGGGTTTTGTTGGGGGGTATGTGGGGAGGGATGTGGTAGGAAGAAATGTGAGGAGGAATGAAAAGTTGAGGAATGTGGAAAAGTGTTGTAAGAAGAAGATGAGGAGGAATGGGAATTGAGAGATGGGAAAGGTAGGAAGAAATGAGGGGGAGGAGGGAGAATGAGAATATAGAGGAATGGAATAGGGATGGGAGAAGATATAGGAGGGTGGGGGGGTTTGGGGTATGGGGGGGGGATGGTTAGGGAAGAAATTGGGATGAAAAAGGAATGAAAAGTTGGAGGAAAGGTAATGATGTTGGTAATGAATGGGGATTTAAATGATAGGGATAAAATGGAGAGAGATCGCCTAAATGAATAATACAGGAAAATAAGGTAGGATGGGGAGAGACTTGGGTAATATATGGGGGGGGGTTATGTGTTATTTTTTGACATAGGTGCTGGCAGATGAAAGGGCCTCCCATTGCTGCTGGAAAGTTGTTTAAGAGGAATGCCATGTAGCCCTATATAAAATCCTCATGGGCCTTCCAAGGTCCAGATTCTGTCATGGGGTCCCTGAGGTATCCTCCCATTGCTGGTCTCCATTCGCCACAGATTGTCTGCCATGTGCCACTTTCAGGTCTCCTCACACACTGCTGGTGTGTGAATGAATTTTTTGACATAGGGTGCTGGCAGATTAGGGGCCTCCCATAGCTGCTGCCAGGCCCCTAATCTGCCATGGGCCCTATATACCGCCTCCTCATGCTGCTGCCAGGTCCAAGTCTCTCATGGGTCCCTGTAACGGCCTCCCATTGCTGCTGTCTCCATCGCCACACTCTGCCATGTGCCCACTTTCAGGTCTCCTCACACACTGCTGGTGTGAAGAATTTTTTGACATAGGGTGCTGGCAGATTACGGGCCTCCCATTAGCTGCTGCCAGGCCCCTAATCTGCCATGGGCCCCTATATAACCGCCTCCTCATGCTGCTGCCAGGTCCAATGTCTCTCATGGGTCCCTGTAACGCCTCCCCTTTGCTGCTGTCTCCATCGCCACACTCTGCCATGTGCCAATTTCAGGTCACCTCACACATAGGTGTGTAGAATTTTTTGACATAGGGTGCTGGCAGATTACGGGCCTCCCATAGCTGCTGCCAGGCCCCTAATCTGCCATAGGCCCCTATATACCGCCTCCTCATGCTGCTGCCAGGTCCAGAGTCTCTCTCATGGGTCCCTGTACGGCCTCCCATTGCTGCTGTCTCCATCGCCACACTCTGCCATGTGCCACTTTCAGGTCTCCTCACACACTGCTGGTGTGTAGAATTTTTTGACATAGGTGCTGGCAGATTACGGGCCTCCCATAGCTGCTGCCAGGCCCCTAATCTGCCATGGGCCCCTATATACCGCCTCCTCATGCATGCTGCTGCCAAGTCCAGAGTCTCTCATGGGTCCCTGTACGGCCTCCCATTGCTGCTGTCTCCATCGCCACACACTGCCATGTGCCACTTTCAGGTCTCCTCACACACTGCTGGTGTGTAGAATTTTTTGACATAGGGTGCTGGCAGATTACGGGCCTCCCATAGCTGCTGCCAGCCCCTAATCTGCCATGGGCCCCTATATACCGCCTCCTCATGCTGCTGCTGCCAGGTCCAGAGTCTCTCATGGGTCCCTGTACGGCCTCCCATTGCTGCTGTCTCCATCGCCACACTCTGCCATGTGCCACTTTCAGGTCTCTCCTCACACACTGCTGGTGTGTAGAATTTTTTGACATAGGGTGCTGGCAGATTACGGGCCTCCTATAGCTGCTGCCAGGCCCCTAATCTGCCATAGGCCCCTATATACCGCCTCCTCATGCTGCTGCCAGGTCCAGAGTCTCTCATGGGTCCCTGTACGGCCTCCCATTGCTGCTGTCTCCATCGCCACACTCTGCCATGTGCCACTTTCAGGTCTCCTCACACACTGCTGGTGTGTAGAATTTTTTTGACATAGGGTGCTGGCAGATTACGGGCCTCCCATAGCTGCTGCCAGGCCCCTAATCTGCCATGGGCCCCTATATACCGCCTCCTCATGCTGCTGCCAAGTCCAGAGTCTCTCATGGGTCCCTGTACGGCCTCCCATTGCTGCTGTCTCCATCGCCACACTCTGCCATGTGCCACTTTCAGGTCTCCTCACTCACACTGCTGGTGTGTAGAATTTTTTGACATAGGGTGCTGGCAGATTACGGGCCTCCCATAGCTGCTGCCAGGCCCCTAATCTGCCATAGGCCCCTATATTATATACGCCTCCTCATGCTGCTGCCAGGTCCAGAGTCTCTCATGGGTCCCTGTACGGCCTCCCATTGCTGCTGTCTCCACCGCCACACTCTGCCATGTGCCACTTTCAGGTCTCCTCACACTGCTGGTGTGTTCAATTTTTTGACATAGGGTGCTGGCAGATTACGGGCCTCCCATAGCTGCTGCCAGGCCCCTAATCTGCCATGGGCCCCTTTACCGCCTCCCTCCTCATGCTGCTGCCAGGTCCACAGTCTCTCATGCCATGTGCCACTTTCAGGTCTCCTCACACTGCTGGTGTGTTGAATTTTTTGATATAGGGTGCTGGCAGATTACGGGCCTCCCATAGCTGCTGCCAGGCCCCTAATCTGCCATGGGCCCCTATATACCCGCCTCCTCATGCTGCTGCCAAGTCCAGAGTGTGTCATGGGTCCCTGTACGGCCTCCCATTGCTGCTGTCTCCATAGCCACACTCTGCCATTTGCAACTTTCAGGTCTCCTCACACTGCTGGTGTGTTACATTTTTTGTCATAGGGTGCTGGCAGATTATGGGCCTCCCATTGCTGCTGCCAGGCACGTAATCTGCCATGGGCCCCCGTACCGACTCCTCATGCTGCTGCCAAGTCCAGAGTCTCTCATGGGTCCCTGTACGGCCTCCCATTGCTGCTGTCTCCATCGCCACACTCTGCCATGTGCCACTTTCAGGTCTCCTCACACTGCTGGTGTATTCCATTTTTTGTCATAGGGTGCTGGCAGATTACGGGCCTCCCATAGCTGCTGCCAGGCCCCTAATCTGCCATGGGCCCCTATACCGCCTCCTCATGCTGCTGCCAGGTCCAGAGTCTCTCATGGGTCCCTGTACGGCCTCCCATTGCTGCTGTCTCCATCGCCACACTCTGCCATGTGCCACTTTCAGGTCTCCTCACACTGCTGGTGGGTTCCATTTTTTGTCATAGGGTGCTGGCAGATTACGGGCCTCCCATAGCTGCTGCCAGGCCCCTAATCTGCCATGGGCCCCCGTACCGACTCCTCATGCTGCTGCCAGGCCCGTAATCTGTCATGGGCCCCTGTTGTCGCTTGTTGGCATATTCCGCTCGTTCAGATGCTCCTTCTCCTGCTACTCCTCTTCACGGATTCCGTCAGCAGTCTTTCTTGGAATCCGTTTCCAAGAGACAACAGTTTGCGAGCACGCACCAGACGGTGCAGAAGCTGAACGTCCTCCTGTCCAAGTTGCTGCTGCCAGGCTCGTAATCTGTCATGCGCCCCTGTACCGCCTCCTCATGCTGCTGCCAGGTCCAGAGTGTGTCATGGGCCCCCGTACCGACTCCTCATGCTGCTGCCAGGCCCGTAATCTGTCATGGGCCCCTGTACCGCCTCCCCATGCTGCTGCCAGGTCCAGAGTGTGTCATGGGTCCCTGTACGGCCTCCCATTGCTGCTGCCAGGCCCGTAATCTGCCATGGGCCCCCGTACCGACTCCTCATGCTGCTGCCAGGCCCGTAATCTGCCATGGGCCCCTGTACCGCCTCCTCATGCTGCTGCCAGGTCCAGAGTGTGTCATGGGTCCCTGTACGGCCTCCCATTGCTGCTGTCTCTATCGCCACACTCTGCCATGTGCCACTTTCAGGTCTCCTCACACTGCTGGTGGTTTCCATTTTTGTCATAGGGTGCTGTATGGCCTCCCATTGCTGCTGCCTCCACCGCCACACTGTGGCTCCACACTCTGGTTTTGGCCCCGTGACTGCCCAAATGAGTGAAGTGTGCGGTGATTCTAAGATCGACGGCACTCATCTGCATGTCATACTGCCTGACAGTATTATTTCTCTTCCCCAGCAGACTCCAAGGGCATTTAAATTAAAGGTACAGTGTTCAGCACTAATATTAAGTCTCTCTGAAGCCTAGAAACACCCTTTTTTAAGTTAAATTCACAGCGAATATATTCGACTCGAATCAAAATTTTTCCACGAATTCGCCGAATCAGTCGAATCGAATTTTTGAATACTTCGCTCATCTCTAGAGGTAATGATAACAGTACCTGGAACACCAATATGAATAATAATTAAGAACAAAAGTTAGTCCATTAGATGTGTAATGCCAGTGAAAGAATGTGCCACCAAAGTCAAGTATTCACCCAATGCTGGCAGATATGTTGATAGTAATAGTAATGGACTACTATCGCCATATCTGCCAGCCTCAGGTGAAGTTTTTCTCTTTTGAAAGGGAGATTCGCTACAGTTTCATGGGTTGTAAACTTCTTGACAATGTTGTGCACAGTGGACACAGGAACACTAAGATCTGTTAATTGATAATTATAGGAGTATCAGAAACTTGGAATGCAATTATTTCTTACAATTTTGAGAAGGTGCCAATATTTTGTACAGTCCATTGTTTAGGGTTTTGCGTGGAAAGTGTCAGATTTGGCTTTTTGTGTCATACTAATAAGAAATAAACATGAGAATGCCGAAACATTTGTAATTGCAGCAATTTTCTTGGCCAAGTGGTGCAACCTCTGAGGGCTTCACAGAACAGCTGTATTTATACTGAGATTAAATTACACATAGGTGGACTCTATTTACTAATTAGGTGACTTCTGAAGGCAATTGGTTCCACTAGATTTTAGTAATAGGTATCAGAGTAAAGGGGACTGAATACAAATGCACGCCACACTTTTCAGATATTTATTTGTAAAAAAATTATGAAAATCATTTATAATTTTCCTTCCACTTTACAATTATGTGCCACTTTGTGTTGGTCTATCACATAAAATCCCAATAAAATTCATTTACGTTTTTGGTTGTAACATAACAAAATGTGGAAAAGGGTATGAACACTTTTTCAAGGCACTGTATATATGCACTAATTTCACTTTCCAACATATACTGAGTTAACTTCCTCTTTTAGTTGTATGTTAACACCAATAATTTTGTTTCGCCATTATTATTCTTTTCTCAGGATTGTTGGTTGTTTCCTGGTATTTCCCACCGTCTTATTACATCCATGTACTTTTTTATGGTACTGCCCCTTGGGTTTTTCCCATAAATTATAACAGCGGGATGCATATTTTTTACTGATGTATGTGATTAACTGAACTGATATTTTAAACAATTCCTATCTGTATGTGCCTAATTTCTACATACTAAATTGATCATTATTATTCATTATGTATCATGCCTTATTTAAAGTTCAATGAGGAAATGTTTTAGTGTTTTTATATTCTATACACCAAAATTGTATATATTGCCATATTGCAGTGAATTTTATAGAAAATTACAGCAGCTGCAGATTGAAATAAAGGCAATGTTTTAATAACATTAAGTTATAATACGGCTTGTGTAGCAATTTGAATGCTATTATATTTTCATTTTTTTGCTATATTTTTTCATGAAAGTGGAGTTACCCTTTAAGGAATAATTATGGTAGCTACTGTATTTCCACAATGCCTTCAATAATGTTTAATTAAAGGCGCTGAATCTGGTTGGTGCTTTTCGAACGTCTTTCCTACATTGAAACAATCTGAACAATTAGATCTTGTAACACTTAAAATTTAATTACTAACTCATTCTACTTTGATTTGAAAAATTAAGGTGCTCAGGGACTTGTAAACAAGATAAGTGGAAGGCAATATAAAAAAAATGGAGCCAAGAGCATATAAACAGCACAAAAATTCTATCTGAGTCATAAAAAACTGTAACAAGCAGTTGCACCAAGAACTATCATTTAATGTATTGCAAAGTTCAAAATCAAGTTATCAGTTGGATAATCAATCACCCAATGAACCTCTGCCAAAAAGTGACCATATGGATCAAGGCAACATGATCTAATAACATTTATTTGGGTGGCCAAGGCTCTTGCAATCTGTAATTTTGAGTATTTCTGGATAATTACTTGTAAAGTGATATTAAAGTCTGATTTTTTGTTTAAATATAATAAAAATGATACTTTCCTGCTTTGTGCAATGGTTTTGCACAGAGCTGCCCTGATCCTCCTCTTCTTGGGTCCCCCAGTAGCACTCCTGGCCCCTCCCTCCTGCCTAGTGCCCCTATAGCAAGTAGCCTGCTATAGGGGCATCCCTGCAGGCTCGTTTCCAAGCCACTGCTCTGGGTGTCCATTCACACATGAAGCACAGCTCTGCCCCACCCCTGCTCTCTCCTCATTGGCTCACTGGCTGTGATTGAAAGTAGTGGGAGCCAATAGCTGCCGCTGCTGTATCAGCCAATGAGGAGGGGGAGACCTGGGGGAGCCGAGGCTCTTGTGCACATTGCTGAAGTGAGATGGGGTTCAGGTAAGTTTTAGGGGGCTGAGGAGGGGGGGAGCTGCACACTGATGATGTTTTGCCTTCATTCATAGAATACATGGGGGTAAAAAAAACCTTGAGCTTTTACAACCACTTTAAGAATATTTCTATATTCAGAACTGGGAATAACCAAATGCACATATTCATTGAAACATACAGTACTTCTGTACGCTCATTTAGCACTGTTGGAAGATCTCCCGGGACAAGGATAAAGGATTGAGCCCAGCGCTGTCCTTAGAAAGCTTGCTACATGTGGGAGTCTTTCCCCTTGTAGATCCCAGAGTGCTGCTGTGCTCACTCTGCCCTGCTTGCTCCCTGCTGCTCCAGCTGCCCAGCATGGAGGTCCCCCCCTCCCAAACCTAGGGTACCCCTCCCAGGCACCAACAGTCTCCTCAGCACTCCATCTCCACCTGACTCTCTTGTCAGCCTTACTCTCCCATATTTATGGGCCAGTTCACCACTCTACCAGGGCCTCCAAACTTGGGATTGGCTGGACTTCCATGCACATGCAGATTAGGACTCCACCCCTTCCTTCTTACTGACTTCTAGAAGGATCTATGGTCCTCCAGAGTTAGGAGGCGGCGATAGAGCCACAACCTGTTGAGTCATCCAGCTGACCTGCAATAACCTGACTTCAATCACAGATTCACACAATTACCATGAGTCATACACAATGATTTTACCTACAATTCACTACACTATTCTAGTAGCACTCTAGAGAGTGCTACATAGGAATATCTCCCAATCTGGTGGAATGTGGTCAGAACATGCGGCTACCATCTCATGTCTATGAGGAGCTTAAATTTTCCTATTCCCTCCAGATATTCACTTTGCAATGTTTTTTATAACCTGCACATCAAGCCTTTCCTGTTATGGTTTTGTAAAAACTCACGTTTGAATTGCAATCTTTTATAAGTGCTAGGTAAAAAAGTCTGCCAACGGAAATTGAATCGTCACTCCCGATGTTGTAATAAGCCAAATACTGTTGAGAAAAGCCAATGAACCAATCACATAGCAGGAAATGTCATATCTTACAAATGGCTTGAGTGGCAACTGTATATATGGTATATAATAAATTATTAATAAAAGTATCAAGCTAAAGTCCAATTAAAGCCACAAAAATAAATATGCAGCCAGTTGGATTTTTAGACAGTGACTTTCATTTCCATAGTAATTTCTCCACTATCCTGTTACAGCTACTGTGCATATCAGTAGGAAACAGAAAACAAAAAAACACTACTCTTAGTAACAGAATAGATCCATATACTGTATGTCCCTCTTCTTGTCTGCAATTGTTGGAATACATTGTTCATGTATTTTTGCGCTACTTCAGTACATCAGTATCAGTGTTCAGTGGAGACATATTCTTCAACCAGTAGATGGCGGTGTGTATAAATTTGTAGGTGCATCTATGTTAAATAAAGTTCCTGTTTCCTGTTTGCGGGGA